AGGAACTAACCACCACAACATGCCTCAATCAGGAACTAACCCTCGCAACATGCCTCAATCAGGAACTAACCCTCACAACATGCCTCAATCAGGAACTAACCCTCACATGCCTCAATCAGGAACTAACCCTCACAACATGCCTCAATCAGGAACTAACCCTCACATGCCTCAATCAGGAACTAACTCTCGCAACATGCCTCAATCAGGAACTAACCACCACAACATGCCTCAATCAGGATCTAGCCCTCACATGCCTCAATCAGGAACTAACCCTCGCAACATGCCTCAATCAGGAACTAACCCTCACAACATGCCTCAATCAGGAACTAACCCTCACATGCCTCAATCAGGAACTAACCCTCGCAACATGCCTCAATCAGGAACTAGCCCCCACAACATGCCTCAATCAGGAACTAACCACCACAACATGCCTCAATCAGGAACTAACCACCACAACATGCCTCAATCAGGAACTAGCCCTCACAACATGCCTCAATCAGGAACTAGCCCTCGCAACATGCCTCAATCAAGATCTAGCCCTCACAACATGCCTCAATCAGGATCTAGCCCTCGCAACATGCCTCAATCAGGAACTAGCCCTCACAACATGCCTCAATCAGGAACTAGCCCTCGCAACATGCCTCAATCAGGAACTAACCCTCGCAACATGCCTCAATCAGGAACTAACCCTCGCAACATGCCTCAATCAGGAACTAACCACCACAACATGCCTCAATCAGGATCTAGCCCTCACATGCCTCAATCAGGAACTAACCCTCGCAACATGCCTCAATCAGGAACTAACCCTCACAACATGCCTCAATCAGGAACTAGCCACCACAACATGCCTCAATCAGGAACTAACCACCACAACATGCCTCAATCAGGAACTAGCCACCACAACATGCCTCAATCAGGAACTAACCCTCGCAACATGCCTCAATCAGGAACTAACCCTCACAACATGCCTCAATCAGGAACTAACCACCACAACATGCCTCAATCAGGATCTAGCCCTCACATGCCTCAATCAGGAACTAACCCTCGCAACATGCCTCAATCAGGAACTAACCCTCACAACATGCCTCAATCAGGAACTAACCCTCGCAACATGCCTCAATCAGGAACTAACCCTCACAACATGCCTCAATCAGGAACTAGCCCCCACAACATGCCTCAATCAGGAACTAACCCTCACATGCCTCAATCAGGAACTAGCCACCACAACATGCCTCAATCAGGAACTAACCACCACAACATGCCTCAATCAGGAACTAGCCCTCACAACATGCCTCAATCAGGAACTAACCCTCGCAACATGCCTCAATCAGGAACTAACCCTCACATGCCTCAATCAGGAACTAGCCACCACAACATGCCTCAATCAGGAACTAACCACCACAACATGCCTCAATCAGGAACTAGCCCTCACAACATGCCTCAATCAGGAACTAACCCTCGCAACATGCCTCAATCAGGAACTAACCCTCACATGCCTCAATCAGGAACTAACCCTCACAACATGCCTCAATCAGGAACTAACCACCACAACATGCCTCAATCAGGAACTAACCCTCGCAACATGCCTCAATCAGGAACTAACCCTCACAACATGCCTCAATCAGGAACTAACCCTCACAACATGCCTCAATCAGGAACTAACCCTCACATGCCTCAATCAGGAACTAACCATCACAACATGCCTCAATCAGGAACTAACCCTCACAACATGCCTCAATCAGGAACTAGCCCTCACAACATGCCTCAATCAGGAACTAACCCTCACATGCCTCAATCAGGAACTAGCCCTCACAACATGCCTCAATCAGGAACTAACCCTCACAACATGCCTCAATCAGGAACTAACCCTCACATGCCTCAATCAGGAACTAACCCTCACATGCCTCAATCAGGAACTAACCCTCACATGCCTCAATCAGGAACTAACCCTCACAACATGCCTCAATCAGGAACTAGCCCTCACAACATGCCTCAATCAGGAACTAACCACCACAACATGCCTCAATCAGGAACTAACCCTCACAACATGCCTCAATCAGGAACTAACCACCACAACATGCCTCAATCAGGAACTAACCACCACAACATGCCTCAATCAGGAACTAGCCACCACAACATGCCTCAATCAGGAACTAACCCTCACAACATGCCTCAATCAGGAACTAGCCCTCACAACATGCCTCAATCAGGAACTAGCCCTCACAACATGCCTCAATCAGGAACTAACCCTCGCAACATGCCTCAATCAGGAACTAACCCTCGCAACATGCCGCGGGGATCTTCTCTTGCTATACATACACCTTGGTATGGAAAGAAAGGCCGTATGTTTTGTGATTACTTCGTTTTATTAATTCGGAAACCATTGTTGATATGATTTAACTGATTCTGAAAAAAAAAAAAAACTTATATTTTAATTATATTGCGCCACACTATGAATACTTGACATTACCCCCCTGACATGACAGCTTGCTGGTGCGATCTGATCGAAGGTCGGCCATTTTGTGAGAGATGTGGAAGTCTCGTGAAACATGACGTCACCTATTCCCTCCAATGTACGTTTGTAGACTGGTTACGTCCTGTCCTCCCTTTCTTCATGTCCCGCAGTCGGATATAAAGCTCACTAAATTAGCTGTAGGCTGCAACCAACCAGTGGCACACGTACACACACACACGTACACACATACACTAATTGCTATTGCGTTGCTATTCTTCACGGATTGAAGTTTAAACAAACACGATCGATAGTCGGCCTTTAGTTTCGCCAATTCCCTAGGCAGAGAAAAAATAGTATATGCACTATATGACTAGGATTTATATCAAGCGGATAATCATAAGGGTCATAGATAACTTTTGTCTCGCATGGGGGGGGGGGGGGGATTTTTTGTGTCGATGAGCTACGTATAGGGGGGGGGGGGTTAAGAAATGTATCATATTTATTTAAAGAAAAAAACTAAATTATAAGATGAATTATGAATTGTGTTTGAGGGAAGGGGTGTGGATGTAGAAGTGTGAGATTGTTTAAAGCGGGAGTCTCGCTTTTGTCACCACACGTGGGAGAAGGCTAAAATTGGCTCTAACAGCGTGACGTCATTTGTGAATGACTCCCATGTTAAGAACTTTGTGTGTTTGTGTGTGGGGGGGGGGGGGGGTGTCAGCGTGTGAAATAAACATTTTGATAGAGGTAATAAGTAAATGTTAGTGTAAGTCTAGATTCAAATCAAGGGCTATTGGTCAAAGTAATATCAATGCCATGATGACAATATAAAAACCGAAAAAAAAAATGTGAAAGGTTCTCAGGTCTAGAAAACTTTCTTAAGGGGGACAGTGCCAGGAATATGAAAAGATGCAAGGGAAGGGATTATATGAAAAAAAAACATGGGGATTGGGCGGGGTGAAAGAGGCACTGGAGATGGCGCGAGACAGAGGGAATGGAAGAATAACACTAATAACAGAACATTAGTCACACTAGGGGCTCCTGAACGGTCCACCTCGACTTCGGAATAGAAGACGTTGTTTTTTTTTTTTATCTCGATGTTTGAAATAATATGCCCTGAATAGTTTTATACTTTGATGAGTGACATTTGGTAAGAAATGGATCGCGAGGCTACCTATCAATGTTATATTTAAAATAATTTCATTTCACTATGTTGGTCTGAAAATAATACACATCTCTAGCCCCTTTCGCCCACACAACCACAAGATCTAACCGTGGTTTCCATAAACTCCCCTCCCCTGTCTAGATCGGTACGCCTACGACAGCAAAACTTCTAAAGCCGGAGATCGAGGCATATTCAGGTTACCTGAAGAAAAACAAGTGTAGCTGTTGTCTTCTCTCCCTTATCTACCCAGCCGAGTTACGGGCCTTGTCACCAGGCCAGGCCACACGATACTGTAGGTCGTTATCTTAGTGGACGTGCTGGGGGACAGCTAGGGAAGGCTTGGGGTGGTGGCTCCAACTCTTTCACTAGTGACATGCCAGGACTGTCCAGCCAGGACTGTCCAGCTAGCGACAGGACTGTCCAGCTAGCAACACGGCCAGTCAGGACTGTCCAGCAAACACGGCCAGCCAAACTGTCCAGCTAGCGACAGGACTGTCCAGCTAGCAACACGGCCAGTCAGGACTGTCCAGCAAACACGGCCAGCCAAACTGTCCAGCTAGCAACACGGCCGGTCAGGACTGTCCAGCTAGCAACAGGACTGTCCAGCTAGCAACACGGCGGGTCAGAACTGTCCAGCTAGCAACACGGCGGGTCAGGACTGTCCAGCTAGCAACACGGCGGGTCAGGACTGTCCAGCTAGCAACACGGCGGGTCAGAACTGTCCAGCTAGCAACACGGCGGGTCAGGACTGTCCAGCTAGCAACACGGCCGGTCAGGACTGTCCAGCTAGCAACAGGACTGTCCAGCTAGCAACACGGCGGGTCAGAACTGTCCAGCTAGCAACACGGCGGGTCAGGACTGTCCAGCTAGCAACAGGACTGTCCAGCTAGCAACAGGACTGTCCAGCTAGCAACACGGCGGGTCAGGACTGTCCAGCTAGCAACACGGCCAGTCAGGACTGTCCAGCAAACACGGCCAGCCAAACTGTCCAGCTAGCAACACGGCCGGTCAGGACTGTCCAGCTAGCAACAGGACTGTCCAGCTAGCAACAGGACTGTCCAGCTAGCAACACGGCGGGTCAGAACTGTCCAGCTAGCAACACGGCGGGTCAGGACTGTCCAGCTAGCAACAGGACTGTCCAGCTAGCAACAGGACTGTCCAGCTAGCAACACGGCGGGTCAGGACTGTCCAGCTAGCAACACGGCGGGTCAGGACTGTCCAGCTAGCAACACGGCGGGTCAGGACTGTCCAGCTAGCAACACGGCCAGCTATGACTGTCCAGCTAGCAACACGGCCAGTCAGGACTGTCCAGCTAGCAACACGGCCAGCTATGACTGTCCAGCTAGCAACACGGCCAGTCAGGACTGTCCAGCTAGAGACATGGCCAGCTATGACTGTCCAGCTAGCAACACGGCCAGTCAGGACTGTCCAGCTAGAGACATGGCCAGCTATGACTGTCCAGCTAGCAACACGGCCAGTCAGGACTGTCCAGCTAGCAACACGGCGGGTCAGGACTGTCCAGCTAGCAACACGGCCAGTCAGGACTGTCCAGCTAGCAACACGGCGGGTCAGGACTGTCCAGCTAGCAACACGGCCAGTCAGGACTGTCCAGCTAGCAACACGGCCAGTCAGGACTGTCCAGCTAGCAACACGGCCAGTCAGGACTGTCCAGCTAGCAACACGGCCAGCTATGACTGTCCAGCTAGCAACACAGCCAGTCAGGACTGTCCAGCTTGCAACACGGCCAGCCATGACTGTCCAGCTAGGACTGTCCAGCCAGGACTGTCCAGCTAGCAACACGGCGGGTCAGGACTGTCCAGCCTTGCGGTTCTTCAGAGTCGCAATATTGGCGTGAATGTCAATAGGCAAATACTATAGCTAAGCACATACCGCCACAAGTCAGACCCCCCGCCCCCCCCCCCCCTTTTACACTTCCTTTCAACTATAGACGACTGTTTACTGGAAACGTTAATGAGACAAGTATGTCAATCCATCATTGAAAATGTAAAGTTTATCTTCAGCATTATCTTAAAGAAACAACGTGTGATAACGACTGACTTATCGGCCTACGTCGTGACGACACACTTGAGTGAACTGTGTTATGGCTACTGTTGTCGACAGAAAGCTCAACATTTTAGCTGATTAAAAAATACTTTGACCCGCAATTTTTCTAACTTTTTTCAGGGGGGGGGGGGTAAAATGGTGTGGGGGTGCCTATCTTTTGGTGGTGGGGGGGGGATAAAATGGTGTGGGGGTGCCCTATCTTTTGGTGGTATATTTAATGGGGTTGACTATCTTTAGGGTTTATATTTAAATGTAGGTGGCTATCTATGGGGGGTAGAATCTAGCGGGGTTGACTACATATCAGGGTTGTATCATACTGGGGTTTACTAACATCATGGGTGGTGACGTAGGGGTTTGGTTATCGTCAGCAGTTGTATCGTGTGGGGGTTGTCACAATGAAAAACATAATTTCATTGCACTAATATGACATTTTTTTTAAATTGAAAAAAAAAAACAACAACAAATAATATATTTTGAATAAGTGGCTAAGCTATGATAAATATATATTTTTTTTCTCAACGCCATAAATAGAAGTAGAGAAAACAGTCATCGTAAAAACAACAGCAAGCATACTGACTGGTTAGCTTCTATCGGTGCCGTGCAGGGGCCTAACGACCCATTCCAGCACCCGGAGCGAACTATGAGTTTCACGCCCGCCAATTTATACAATATAGATATTTACATTGGTGAAAAGTTACCCCCCTCCTCCCCCGCCCTTTCAAAATTTTTATCAGCCACTATCCCTTTTTACTTTCTGGTGTACGAAGTCTAGAGGAAGTATTGTAATCGTGCAAAATAATCACATGCAATTTTGACAGTTTACACCTCAGTACTTCATCATATATAGAGTATAGGGGACTTATTTCGTTGGGTGCCATCCTTGGGTGGCCGCCCTACCCTCCCTCTCTTGCTACGCCTCTGGCGCCATTGAATCATATAACTACGTTTATTTTTTTAATATATTTTTTTTCTTTTCTCTAGGGGGGGGGGGGATGAGGAGGCAGTATTGGACTGTTTCAAGATAAGTAAAATAAACTGTGGAGTCAGTATTTGTGGATTTCAACCAAGGGAGTTAACAGCATATTTATAATACCAAATATTGATCTCCCCTTTTTAAATTTTTAGAACTATTTTGAATCCAGTGATTTTGTTGTCTTCTTTTCATTCAGTTTTCGTGTTTGTTTCCACTATGGTGAGATGAACAATAAGACTTTCTAGTCACTACATTTTCAACAACACATATTTCACACAAGTACTTTTGCAAAAAATGAAACTAAGTACTTAACGCCAGACGAGGTAAGTTTACTTAAAATATACAGAACTTTTGGTCGTTTCACTAGACCAGCGACAGACGCAAGTGAAATATTTTGTGATGCATTCATTTATATAACATAAAACCTTTTTTCCCCCACCACATTCCCATTTAGATATTTTTATAAAAGTTTCATTGACCGACTCTCCTGTATTATATAGCACACAGAAATACCCCCTCCACACAGATACCAACCAAATGTTAGTATGGCACTTCATTATTCATTGATGGTTACAAGTACAAGTCTTATTGCTCCTGAAATGCTTTTTAAAATACTTCTGCTACATTGAATTTCTGCTAATCTAAGAGAAGCAAAATAATGAGACGTGTTAATTCTTATTTTTAGAAAAAACGATTTAAAATAAAAGTTATATTCCTTTACCTCGGCTCATGAGCATCACCCCATTCCATACAACACAATATATCCTAAGGATAAGCCACCAGCCCAACTGCGTTATATAACATGGACAATCACTGATTTTTAGAAGAGCCAGCGTGTTTTAGGCTTGTTTCTGTCACCGCATTAAGTGTTCCAAAAGAAAGCTTTAAATGTCAAGGATTACAGACAAATAGGTTCATTTCCAGTATCTTTGTTTCTCCTTGTTGACACTGTGCCGAATTTGTGTGAATGTGTCTGTCCCTATGTATGTCTTCTCGTGTCTTATAACTGTTGTTGTTGCTTGTGGGGGGGGGGGGAGTGGATGGTCGTCTGCAAAGTTTAGGTCATGTGTTGGTTCCACAGGATCCTCTCTAGATTCTGATACTTAATGGAGATCTGCATGGTCTACATAAATCATCAAGCTGTCGGTACGCACCGTTCGCGTAAAGCTGTTTCTTCGCTGTTGCCATGCATGGGCTTCTCTGCAAAATTGCAGTTGAGTTTTTCTTAAAATATGATTTTTTCTCCAAACTCTCGCCTGAACTCTGTCAACATAGCGAGTATTTTAATCAATTCCTATTACAGTTTATTAAAACAGTTTTCTAAAACGCAAAATAACGGCTAAAATTCGTTTTCTAGCATTGCTTTTTTATAATGCAAAAGTGTGACGTCACACCATCTGACCCCCCCCCCCCCTCATCACACACCGTCACAAAATTACAGACCCCCCTCCCCTCCTACGAGTGTGACGTCAGTTCTGGACGACCCCTTTGCACATATTTCAGTGTATGCTAATGCTGCTTGGATTCTTCTGTGTGCGCACATTATTGTGTGCGTATTTTTCTGTTTGCAAACTTTTCTCTTTGCATTTTTTATGCGTAATATTTCATTGTGCAATTTTCTGGGAACCATTTTTACTTACTAGATCTAATTACTCAATTAGTATTAGGCCTACTAGTATTACTAATACTATTGGGTATAGATCTACGTCACATTGTGTACGATTTGACAGCCCTCAACGCAAAAAAAAATAAAATAAAAATGTAACATATAGATCTAGACCTAGTAAAATAATAAAATTATTTAAGTACTTTGTAACAGCCTTTATAGACTAAATATAGCATGGTATTAATTCAACCGTGATAAGCTAATTCAAAAGTAATTTAAGACAAAAATTAATTCCTAGTAGAAGCCCTGTTGTATTTATACTTCTGTTGTGCCAGATAGGATTTGTTTATAAACTAAGCCTAATCGTGGGACGAACTGTGGTTTTATCTGAAATTTTGTATAAAAACTAAAAACATACTAACTAGTTCCTGCGTTTTTTGAATCTTTGAAAATTTGATTATAAGAATAGTTTACAAATTGTCTAAATAAATAAAGAAATACTGTCTAGAAATCTAAATAGATTCTACTAGTCTCAAGATCTTGTATTTTATTAGGGGCTTAACTGGCAAAACTATAACAACGCATCACTTTTTTCAAGATGGCTGAACGTCGTGTTATGCCCGATGATCTCAAAAATATTGAATTTGAAACAAGTGAAGATGTCGATGTTACTCCAACATTTGACCACATGGGATTAAGGGAAGATCTTTTGAGAGGAGTGTACGCTTACGGTAGGTAGCTCGCCAAAAGTTTTTTAGATCTAGATCTAGATCTCTAGATTAGTAGAAAAATTTCAGTATTTCAGTGTGAAGTGGCAATGGCCTGAATGGCCCACCACTCCACTGGCACCAGTCAGTTGGTTGGAATCTGGATCCCAGAGATCTAGAATTCTAGATCTAGATTGTTATTTAGGTTGTAAATGAGCATAGTCATTTTACTTGCTTTGTATAATACGAAGTAGGGTAAAGAATTACCAGTAGGCTAGAGTTGTCAATTTAATTTTATTTTGTCAACTGTTGCCAAGGCTATTCCCAGTCAGTTTGGAATGATTGTAGGAAAAATAAACCGGGAGTGATCTCCCCTAATCTTTCTTGTATAATGTTATATAACTTTAAGGGGAATGGCTAGCGGATATAGACATGATTTAAATCCATTTTTGGTTATCTCACGATATTGATCTAGCGTTGGAAATTATCTGGTAATGCTTGTTGAGTTTCGGTAACATTCGTTACTGTAAACCTTTGGCCGTTGAAATGAAAATAAAGTCAATTGTTTTAACTTAATTTAAAATTTAATAGAGAGAAAAATTAGTAGCCTAAGTCAGTAAATCTAAATATTAATAAAATCGAGTGTAGCTTAGGCCTAATTGTTGTTTTTGAGAAACACAACAAAACTTGCAGAAGATTTGCGACAACTAGATCTAGATCTTATCTAGATTTCTCTAGATCTGGTAAAATAAGACGATTAGATTTACTGTCAAAAGTAGTAAGGAGAATTAGAACAATGTTTAGTAGCAGCAATAGGCCTAATTAGCACATGCACTAAAAATAATTAGAACTACAAAATAATTAGCAAAACAGTATTTAAAATGCAACTAAAATCAATCCATGCACATTTTAAACATTATGTATTAAAAATAGTATAGGCCTAATGGCAAATAAATGATGGTTTACAGTATTTCCGGTGGTTTCCAGAACGGCTCGACAGACTACGGTATGGTTTTACTGTTAATATGACTTGCTGTTCTCAACAATAGTTCAACCTCCTGTACTGCCCACATTTATCTCCCTCATTACACAATAAAGAATAAGATCAAAACAGATAGCTGACACAGTACAAAGGCTGTGAGTAGCCCTACCTGATACAGCTATTTCCAGTTGACTGGGAATAGAAACTTTGCAATTAAATGTAATGTTCTTGCAGCAATTTTGCTGAAACTAATTTCGAAACTAATACTATGACAAACTATTACATACATTCCAAATTATGTCATATTTTGGTCTCCCAGGAGTTAAATAAGCTAATTGAAGTTGAAGGTTTAAAAATGTAGTTTCCATATATCTGCGTTAATAACTTGGTTAACATTTAAACTTTCCAGGTTTTGAAAAGCCTTCTGCCATTCAACAGAGAGCTGTTAAACCAGTTGTTAAAGGGAGAGATGTTATAGCTCAGTAAGTGTTATTTAACCCTTTCAGTCTAGTAACTCCTCAGTAAAAAGGCTTGGAAGCAACATGTTGTATTTACACTTTCTCTGTATTCTGTTATATGTTATGGGCACAATTAGTAAGTGTTGGGCTAATCCTAATATAATTCCTCAGCTGTTGAATCAGGCTTTATATTTGCAATATTGAAAAGCAAGTGGTTTTGGGCGACAGTTTTTAAAAAAAAAAATTTATTTATTTATTGAATTGTTTTAATGTTTATTATTTTTATTTCTTTATTGCAAATTAGTAAACTGTTTAAGGCTGAAACATAGTAAGCAAAGTCTATTTTCCTACATGCTACTTTTGGTTTAATTTTTTGATTTTTATGTCATGGACGAAAAATGAGTTTAATGTTGCCTGGCCATACATGAATAGACTCACATTTTTTTTATGGAAATGTATTTTGAAAGTTAAAATATAATATTTAAAAATTTATAATAATGATTTATTATTGTTTGAAATAGAGCCCAGTCAGGCACAGGAAAAACAGCAACATTTTCTATTGCAATTTTACAATGTTTGGACACACAGATTCGGGAGACACAAGCGTTAGTCCTCTCTCCTACTCGTGAACTTGCCATACAGATTCAAAAGGTATAATCAAAGATACATTATTCTTTTTTCATCTGTTTATTTTCTCATATACAAAAGTATAGAATAGTATCGTAATCTTAATGATGAAAAAGGAAAATTAGCAAAATCTTAGCGGTTCAATTTATCTATCTTGATTCCTCAGTTATGGGTGGAAACTTGCTAGTAAGATTTAGACCACTATTTCAATTAAACCTTTCACATAGGTCAAGACTCAATGACAATACATTCAGATATAAAATGCAATTTGATTAGATGATTAATTAACCTTTTTAAGATTAATCAATGTTTCCTTTGTAAATTTTCCTCTATGTTCTGTACACATAGTTTGTGTTTATTTGGTGCACAAATATGTTTTTCTGTGCGAAACTATTCTATTTAAAATTGTTGTACTGAACTTAATGCACCAGCTGACTTGCTTTGTTATAACAAATTAATGATGAAACTGAATAAAACATCACACCCACCTTTATTGTTTAGGTTATCCTCGCCTTGGGTGACTATATGAGTGTTCAGTGTCATGCCTGCATAGGTGGTACAAATGTTGGGGAAGATATCAGAAAATTAGATTATGGGCAGCACGTTGTGTCAGGAACACCAGGCAGAGTGTTTGGTGAGTCTTCTTTAATTATCTTTGCCTTACTATTAATTAAATTCTGATTAACCCCTTAACGCCGACAGTTGCGTTTTCGCGACATACCGATTTAGCGCATATCATTTGCGCATATGTACATTTATCCTACTGCTGCCGGTCGTTTTGTATTGGGTACATCCAGACGGTTGTATCGGTACCAATGGTCACGTTGTCAAGTCAAAAGTTATGACGTCACACTCTCTTGACTCACGCGCATCTCAATTTTTTTGACTTTGTGAATTCAGCCTACTTACATTGCTTATTATTACTTAATAGGTGATCCGTTTTTGCTACAAAAAATACTAATAGCTTTATTATTCATTCTTTTATGTATATAAACAATATAAATCACATATGAGAATAATTTTGGAAGTTATCTGCTAATTACGGTTTGTCGCGTTTTCGCCACATCCGGCAATAAGACATCAAATGGAACTTGAGTGTCAAGCAGGTATAACGAAATACGATTCATCGCCAAGCTGTCATTCATTCAAGTATGATTATAAATAAGTAAAGGATTTACAATATAGTCTTCGCCTATATATAAAAGTGCACTTTAGAACGTTACGGTCCATGTGGTAGGTGAAGTAGAGTTCACCTGTTTCATTGGCATATGGAGAGAGAGAGCGATGCTGGAATGTTGTGATCATGTTGCTGGGTACAATATAATGAATTTAGCTTTGAAATAGTATTGTAAAATATTATGAGAACATAAAAAATAGACAACAGGAAGTGAGGTGGTGGACCACTATCCTGGATACCACCAAATAAAGGTCTTCACGGTGACTGTGACAATAATAACACTGAGCATAGACCTACACATCGTAATAAATACAGTAAGGTTGATTACTGACAAACATACCCTTTGCAGTGCTATTGAATAGTGGCATTATACTGGTATTTAGTACCAACAGCAGTGTTATTGAGTACCCACATCTTCAGCACTGAGTACCAACATCAGTGACACTGAGCAACCACAGTTTGAGCACTAAGCACTCACAGAGTGATACTGAGTACCCACTGCTAAGGCTGAGTACCCACATCAACGTTATCGATTACCAACAGCTCCAGCGCTGAGTACCCACAGCAGTTACACCAAGAACAGACTGCAGTAACACTGAGTACCCACAGCAGTCACACCAAGAACCGACTGCAGTAACACTGAGTACCCACAGCTTCAACAGTGAGTACCAACAGCTTCAGCACTCAGTACACATGGCTTCAACACTCAGTACCCACTGTTTCAGCACTGAGTACCCATACCAGTGGCAATATGTAGCTACAGCACTGTCATTGGTAATCAATATCAGAATCAGTCGAGAACAATAGCCGAAGCACGAATCAGAAACATAGGGTACCATCAACAATAGCAGTGAGTACCCACGCCGGTATCAATGAGTACCCACGGCAGTGACACTCAGTACCCACAGCAGCTGCATTGAGCATGGACGAATATTCAATGGCTGAACACTGTCATTTAGGACAGTATTTGTTCACGTGCTTTGTGTGTATAGCAAATATAGGTCCAATGAGAAATATGCGTCTTTATTAGTTGACCTTGAATAAGAGTTCACGAAAATTACGTAACCGGGGACAACTAAGGCTCTACACATTGAAGGAAGTCCTTCCATATGTAGTGTGTTAGTGTAGTAGAATTACGACAGAAAGACATCAAAATACCTATTCATAAGAGTTAGTCAGTGAGCAGGTGCAGCAGAGTTATGTAACTCTATGCCTGAGCTAATAAAGTATAGTTTTCATGAGTTTTGCAAGTGATTCTACATCTCCTTGCATGTCCGTATCTTCAGTTTGTGATATTTTATTGTTTGTGCATGGATATTTAGAGAAACATGTAACAGTAAAAATAGTAAAATGACCCGGACTAAAAAAAAATTAAATTACTGTTTGGTCCATAAGTGCCTGATGTCGCGTTTTCGCGACATACCGTAATCATCATCAAAAATAAGTCAAAATTCAACAACAACTATATACCTCAAATTCAGTTTCAGTATGATGAGAGAAAATTAGCACAAATAATTTTTTACACGCTTGGAACATAATTCAGGCATTAAGGGGTTAAATGTCAGAAAATATTTGATCAGTTTTACTTTATTCTTATCTTTTGATTTTAATCTTGGCCTAGTTTTCAGATGTCAACTGTTTGTAATTTGTTTTCAGATATGATCAAGCGCAGAAACCTTCGTACAAGATCTATAAAAATGCTGGTTCTTGATGAGGCTGATGAAATGTTGAAGAAAGGTGAATAAGCCTCTGCCAGCCGCTTCCCTTGTTTTTGTACAGGATAGCTGTATTAATGTTTTGGTAGCTGGTCTAACTTAATGTTATTCATCTAGTACAACTGGGTTATGTTAACTTTGCTTTTTCTTCCCATAATTTTAGGTTTTAAGGAACAAATCTATGACGTCTACAGATATCTACCACCAGCCACACAAGTTGTTCTTATCTCTGCCACACTTCCACATGAAATTCTTGAAATGACCAATAAGTTTATGACAGATCCCATCCGCATTCTTGTCAAGCGGTAAGTGCACTACACAGTTTAGTTGCTACTGATCCAACAATTAAGTTGGTTGAAAATTAAATGAAAATTTTTCTCCAATTAGACAAAAAAATAGCGTTGATTTGTTAAAAAATTTAAGAATAATGCTGACTACCGCCTATGGTAAAATTTTAAAAATTACCAGTCTGTGATAACCTTTGACCATTGTTTTAATAAAAATTATTGCCTATAGCGGGGCAATTAACTCTGACCTCACCCACTGGTTCTTGCCTTACAGAGTAGGTGAGATTAATTGTATTTGTTACGAATAAATAACCCCTAGTTTTAACACTAAACTGCTAATTTAACATTGTTGTATTCTGCTGTTTATGAATAGCTAAATAGCAATTTCAATTTTCATGAAATTATTGCTGTACATTGCTTTTTATAATTCAAGTGCGCTGTGTCTCACTCACTTGATAGTAGCCTGTTCATTAATGATTTTTTTTTCAGTGATGAGTTGACGCTGGAAGGTATTAAACAGTTTTTTGTGGCAGTAGAGAGAGAAGAATGGAAATTTGACACACTCTGTGATCTCTATGATACATTAACAATCACACAGGCAGTCATATTTTGTAACACTAAAAGGAAAGTAGATTGGCTGACAGATAAGATGAGGGAAGCAAACTTCACAGTGTCATCGATGCATGGAGATATGCCTCAAAAAGAAAGAGAGGCTATCATGAAAGAATTCAGATCTGGTGGAAGGTTAGCATCATTTGAACTCTTTCTTTAGCTCTGTTAAAAGTTTTTTTTTTTTGGACTGCAGAATTTTTATTTTACTCTGGTAGAAACACTGATGTTTATTTTGTAGTGTTCAGCAGAGGCTGAATGATGGCTGTTACTAACATTTAGTATACCAGAATTGTTTCCAATCCTCAGCCGAGTTCTGATCACAACAGATGTTTGGGCCAGAGGTATTGATGTGCAGCAAGTGTCATTAGTCATTAACTATGATCTCCCCAACAGCAGAGAGTTGTACATTCACAGGTAGGGAGGGTTTGGTCTAATGACGTCAAGTCAAGTCTTAGTTTTAGTGACGAATATTCATTTTCTAATTTATTTTCTCTATTAACAGAATTGGCAGATCAGGTCGTTTTGGACGCAAGGGTGTTGCCATTAATTTTGTGAAAAATGATGACATCAGAATTCTAAGAGATATTGAACAGTACTATGCCACACAAATTGATGAAATGCCAATGAATGGTTTGTATATTTTTTTTACTAGCTGCACTCTGAACCTTTATTGGAAAGTTTATACATATAAATGTATTTCCATCTGTTTAATATAGTTACTGTTCATATAAAATTCTGTGTATTTTTCAGTTGCTGACCTTATTTAATGTCTGGCTGCGTGGAACAAAGATGGCTAAACTCACATCCCACATGTTGTAATTAATGTTGATACAATTTTAGTTGACAAGTTTTTTTTTTTTATCCAAATGGAAAGTCCTCTTGCAATGTACATTTTTGGCTGCTATGTTTCTGGCAACTTTTATTGTAATTTTTAACAACTGTTGCATCAGGGGGAATATTTAGTAGGACCACATTTCAGTTTTACACAAAGTAAATTGAAAGTAGCCTTAATTTGTTTTACAAGTTTCCTTCATCAATGTCTGCAATAGTAAAAAAGATGTGGGATGAATTGATTGACTTGTGTCCCCTGACATGGGCTCTGGGATTATTTTGTTGGCCTTCTTCAACCAGATCGTGTCATAACCAAGTACAGACTCAAGTCATGTTGCCATTGTAAATTAATCTTTTTGGTACAATTAAAAGTGTTAACACTATTTCCGCGTTTGTTTGGATTTGGAAATGGAGTAGTTCTACTTAGTAGAAACTTGATGGCACGTTCCTATTATATATTCATAACCTATACCCTCTATTTTAATTATTTTTATTTCAAGAAGAAAATAATGAAAAGTACAAGGTTTCACATGTATATACCTAAAGTTGTATTAAGGCAGTTAAATTATTGCATGTAAAAAATACAACAAATGTATGACATCAATAGAAATTCCATGTGTGTAAAAAAAATAGATCAACAATTAAAAAAAAAGTAAAAAAAAAACCCAGTTATGTCTCATGGTGGGGAAAAAAGATGCTGTAATGGTGTGACACCCAGCTCCCTCCTGGGGTCATCTATCCTCTGGTGTTAACAAAAGATTATCCTTGGAAGTTTCCCAATACCTAAGAGGGCTGAATTGTTTAGTTCTGTGATTATGTCCCTTAATATATTTATGCAAATAGGATTCACGCAGTCAAATCTGGACACATACATACATTGAAATATCCTACACTCAAATCCATTGAAATCTCATTCTCACACTTGCAATTCCAAGCACATAGACAAGTAAGACTAGACAGTTACACGAGTAAAACCAGGACACTGAAGAATAAGACTAGACAGCCGGCTGTGTGTCGAGGGCTGGAATTGTCAGACTTGCTGTGACCTGATGGCGGCGGGCAGGTGACCATGTACTGGGACTTGTCCTGGCTGAAGGTAGTGGACAGCTCCACTAGCATGGCACCAAGTGCCCAGTCTGGGGAGGGGAGAGGTCATTTTAGTTAGGTCATGTGCTACATTTCTTTCTTAATGTCACGTGTGCTACATTTCTTTCCTAATGTCACATGTGCTACATTTCTTTCTTAATGTCACATGTGCTACATTTCTTTCTTAATGTCACATGTGCTACATTTCTTTCTTAATGTCACATGTGCTACATTTCTTTCTTAATGTCACATGTGCTACATTTCTTTCTTAATGTCCCTTGTAATTTGTACGGTAACCCTTCTTTCTTAATGTCACATGTAATTTGTGCGGTTATCCTTCTTGTAGCGCTACCAATAGTCCCATACAAAACGTACAATAAACATGTGGAACGAATATTAGGATTGTGTTCTACTTATTTTTCCACTGACTTGGTCCTCCACAACAACTCAAATACGGATGTTTTATTCATTACAAAACTCAACTAGCCGTACAACTTGGTACAAACTAGCCGTACAACTTGGTACAAACTAGCCGTACAACTTTGTACAAACTAGCCGTACAACTTGGTACAAACTGGCCGTACAACTTGGTACAAACTGGCCGTACAACTTGGTACAAACTAGCCGTACAACTTTGTACAAACTAGCCGTACAACTTGGTACAAACTGGCCGTACAACTTGGTACAAACTAGCCGTACAACTAGGTACAAACTAGCCGTACAACTTTGTACAAACTAGCCGTACAACTTGGTACAATTGACTGACCTATGTTGCTGGACTTGGGTGCAAACCGGATGTTGCTCGTGTTCCGCCTGAAGCCGTAGGAGGTGGTGAGCAGGGTGGGGATGTACAAGCCCATCAGACAATTCTCTGAGGCGTACCGCGACTTGTCCGCGGAAATATCTTGCATGCTCTGAAATAGTAATAGATTACAATGGCTGTCTTATATTTGATTTTATAACATGCCCCTTGTGGATGTACGTGTCATTAACTAACATCAAAACACTCGTCACCAGTGTTTCTTCCGGACTTTTTTCTCCGGGGGGGGGGGGGGGGGCGGTAGACATTTTCCTGGGGACGGACACTGGTAAAAAGTATGTTTTCTATATAAATTCCATTTTGTTCGGGGGGGGGGGGGGGGCGGTTTAATACGCTGGATCTTGTCCATATAAGTCCGGCCAAAAAGTTAATCCCCGCCACCAAATAAAAAATAATAATTAAAAAAATGAGGATATGAAACTTGCTCTATTTAGATTTTATTAAAGATTTTCACAATTAGGACATGTGAATTTTCACGAAAAGGTCTGCATTTCTGTTTCTTTAACCTTAACCATCAGGGTGGGTTGTCCCAATTAAATTGGAGCTGGCAAAAAATGACGGTGCCTAACTTTTAGCGCGTACACTTTTGCATTAGGGGCGGGGCTTATCTGGACAAGACCCAACCACAATAACACGGTGGAGTTAAGAAAAGATACCATTTGTAATACCTTATTGCAGTGACCTATAGCCATCTCTTCCAAATGGCTGATGTTTAGGAGCCTGTTATCGCCAACGGCTTTAAGATCGTTGGGCGCGTGTTGGAACACCTGAGTGGCCAAAAACTGGATGTCCTCCACACTCGGCTGGTAGACAGATCCTGCAGACGATTTTAGTGGCATTAGTAATGACCAATGGTCATTCAATATCAGTTGGTTGTAAAACCCACCATCAAGCAACTAAACCACTACTAATAAAACCACCACTTATAAAACCCACCATCAGACAACTAAACCACTACTAATAAAACCACCACTTATAAAACCCACCATCAGACAACTAAACCACTACTTATAAAACCCACCATCAGACAACTAAACCACTACTTATAAAACCCACCATCAAGACAACTAAACCACTACTTATAAAACCCACCATCAAGACAACTAAACCACTACTTATAAAACCACCACTTATAAAACCCACCATCAGACAACTAAACCACTACTTATAAAACCCACCATCAAGCAACTAAACCACTACTTATAAAACCACCACTCATAAAACCACCAGCAGACAAGACAACCCACCAATAGCACACGGCTTAGGCTGACACTTGTTGCCTGTGTAGGGCTTGAGAATTTCTCGCAGAATCTCCAGACAGTCCAATGGCCCGCTGGTGCCCGTCTGGTTGATCCTACGGCCGTCAAGATTTATAACGGCGTGATCGCCTGCAAATACCACATCACATTGTACACGAAGAAATGGAACTTTGGTAGCGAGTTCTTGAGCAAGCTCGGCTTTTGTATGCAACGCGCATGCACCAGTAGAAGTTTTCCTCGAGAAAACAGCCTGGCTAGCTACTGTGTTGAACAGTAATATTTATGTGCGCTGTCTACAAACTGCTCTCAGTCGAAGCATACAAGCAGATTCCAACGTATTGGTTTTATTAAGTTACCTATTAGTATAATTATACATATAGGCCTACGTACATGTGCAATTATACCAAAATTAACCAGCACATATATAAATAAGTATACAGTGGGTTTATTATATATATATATATATATATATATATATATATATATATATATATATATATATATATATATATATATATATATATATATATATATATATATATGTATGTATGTGTGTGTGTGTGTGTATTTATTTATGTGACTCTCCATGAGCATTCCAGATTTCTCGACTTAATCCCCAAAGTACATTTGAACTCACCCTTCAACATACAGGGATTCTTGATTTCCTTCTGACCTGGAGATTTAGCCACGAGATGGTCGGCGACCTTGATCTTCATCCCATTCGATCCATACTGCAGGTAACTTTGTACGTACAGCTGGTATCTCTTCCCAGCTACGGTAACCTTGGAAACAGACGCTAATTTATGTTAATAAGCTACATACAGACGCCAGTTAACGGTAACCTTGGAAACAGATGCTAGTTTATGTTAATAAGCTACACGACAGATGCCAGTTAATGGTAACCTTGGAAACAGACGCTAGTTTATGTTAATAAGCTACAAGACAGATGCCAGTTAATGGTAACCTTGGAAACAGACGCTAGTTTATGTTAATAAGCTACAAGACAGATGCCAGTTAATGGTAACCTTGGAAACAGACGCTAGTTTATGTTAATAAGCTACAAGACAGATGCCAGTTAATGGTAACCTTGGAAACAGACGCTAGTTTATGTTAATAAGCTACAAGACAGATGCCAGTTAATGGTAACCTTGGAAACAGACGCTAGTTTATGTTAATAAGCTACAAGACAGATGCCAGTTAATGGTAACCTTGGAAACAGACGCTAGTTTATGTTAATAAGCTACAAGACAGATGCCAGTTAATGGTAACCTTGGAAACAGACGCTAGTTTATGTTAATAAGCTACAAGACGGATGCCAGCTAATGGTAACCTTGGAAACAGACGCTAGTTTATGTTAATAAGCTACAAGACAGATGCCAGTTAAAGGTAACCTTGGAAACAGACGCTAGTTTATGTTAATAAGCTACAAGACAGATGCCAGTTAATGGTAACCTTGGAAACAGACGCTAGTTTATGTTAATAAGCTACAAGACAGATGCCAGTTAATGGTAACCTTGAAAACACACGATAGTAAGCTCGGACTAGACATAAGTAAATGAAAAATTGTTGAATGTAGGAAACATTTAACAAACTAGCGATACATAATAGCTGTATGTGCAGAAGATGCATGCCTGTTCAGTAGATAACAGCGCAACTAATTTTGTGTGGATTAGAAGCGGGTAAACTAAGAGCCAATATGAGTGATTGTTTTACCTGGTATTCTTCAGAAAACAGAGGTCCATTAGGTAGGAAGGTAATTTGTGTGGAGCCACCCCCCATCTCTAGCACCCCCACAGACTTGTTGGGGCTGTGGAGAACAAAAGGTATAATTGTAGTGCTAGCACCTACCTCACAAGGTATACTTATAGTACCAGCATCTACCATCACAAAGTTTACCTATAGCCAGCATCTTCTACTCGGAAAGTAAGACATGAATCTATCTTTAAGAACTAACTATCAACATGATATATATTGCAGGTAAGTGGTGAATCTATCTTTAAGAACTAACTATCAACATGATATATATTGCAGGTAAGTGGTGAATCTATCTTTAAGAACTAACTATCAACATGATGTATATTACAGGTAAGTGGTGAATCTATCTTTAAGAACTAACTATCAACATGATTTACCTCGCAGGTAAGGAGTGAACCTATCTAAGAAGACACTGACTTCAGAGTTTCTTCCAGGCATCTCTTCGGGGGGGCAAAGCCCCCCCAAAAATTTTTACCGCCTCCCCCCCCGAACGAAATGAAATTTATATAATTTATATAGAAAATATATACTTTTAACAGTGTCCGCCCCCCCGAAGAAAGTCTACCGCCCCCCCCCCCGAAAATTTCAAGTGCCCCCCCCCCCCTGAGAAAAAAGTCTGGAAGAAACACTGACTGACTTACGCGTGAATCTATCTAAGAAGACGACGACTTACTCGTGAACATATCTAAGAAGACGACGACTAACGCGTGAATCTATCTAAGAATACGCTGACTTACGCGTGAATCTATCTAAGAAGACGCTGACTCACGCGTGAATCTATCTAAGAAGACGTTGACTTACGAGTGAATCTATCTAAGAAGACGTTGACTTACGAGTGAATCTATCTAAGAAGACGCTGACTTACGCGTGAACCTATCTAAGCAGACGACGACTTACGCGTGAACCTATCTAAGCAGACGACGACTTACGCGTGAACCTATCTAAGCAGACGACGACTTACGCGTGAACCTATCTAACAAGACGACGACTTACGCGTGAACCTATCTAAGCAGACGACGAATTACGCGTGAACCTATCTAAGCAGACGACGACTTACGCGTGAATCTATCTAAGAAGACGACGACTTACGCGTTAACCTATCTAAGAAGACGACGACTTACGCGTGAACCTATCTAAGCAGACGACGACTTACGCGTGAACCTATCTAAGCAGACGACGACTTACGCGTGAACCTATCTAAGCAGACGACGACTTCAGCGTGAACCTATCTAAGCAGACGACGACTTACGCGTGAACCTATCTAAGCAGACGACTTACGCGTGAATCTATCTAAGCAGACGACTTACGAGTGAATCTATCTAAGCAGACGACTTACGCGTGAGCCGAGAAGAAGCCAGAGATGTAGTTGGCCGCTATCCAGGAGAACACGCCCTCCTCCTCCCCGGACAACAGGCTGATGCGGGAGGGGTCGTAGAGGAAGGGGTTGAGGGTGGAGTTGGCCAGCACCGACCTGGTCGTCTGCAGCAAATCGTTGGCGTCTTCAGCGGTCATGTACCGGAGCCCTGTTGGGACAGTGACAACAGACATGTACCGGAGCCCTGTTGGGACAGTGACAACAGACATGTACCGGAGCCCTGTTGGGACAGTGACAACAGACATGTACCGAAGCCCTGTTGGGACAGTGACAACAGACATGTACCGGAGCCCTGTTGGGACAGTGACAACAGACATGTACCGGAGCCCTGTTGGGACAGTGACAACAGACATGTACTGGACGGTGGGGACAGTGACAACAGACATGTACCGGAGCCCTGTTGGGACAGTGACAACAGACATGTACCGGAGCCCTGTTGGGACAGTGACAACAGACATATACCGGAGCCCTGTTGGGACAGTGACATCAGACGTGTACCGGAGCCCTGTTGGGACAGTGACAACAGACATGTACCGGAGCCCTGTTGGGACAGTGACAACAGACATGTACTGGACGGTGGGGACAGTGACAACAGACATGTACTGGACGGTGGGGACAGTGACAACAGACATGTACCGGAGCCCTGTTGGGACAGTGACAACAGACATGTACTGGACGGTGGGGACAGTGACAACAGACATGTACCGGAGCCCTGTTGGGACAGTGACAACAGACATGTACCGGAGCCCTGTTGGGACAGTGACAACAGACATGTACCGAAGCCCTGTTGGGAATAGTGACAACAGACATGTACCGGAGCCCTGTTGGGACAGTGACAACAGACATGTACCGGAGCCCTGTTGGGACAGTGACAACAGACATGTACTGGACGGTGGGGACAGTGACAACAGACATGTACCGGAGCCCTGTTGGGACAGTGACAACAGACATGTACTGGACGGTGGGGACAGTGACAACAAACATATACCGGAGCCCTGTTGGGACAGTGACAACAGACATGTACTGGACGGTGGGGACAGTGACAACAGACATATACCGGAGCCCTGTTGGGACAGTGACAACAGACATGTACCGGAGCCCTGTTGGGACAGTGACAACATACATGTACCGGAGCCCTATTGGGACAGTGACAACAGACATGTACCGGAGCCCTGTTGGGACAGTAACAACAGACATGTACCGGAGCCCTGTTGGGACAGTAACAACAGACATGTACCGGAGCCCTGTTGGGACAGTAACAACAGACATGTACCGGAGCCCTGTTGGGACAGTGACAACAGACATGTACCGGAGCCCTGTTGGAGACAGTGACAACAGACATGTACCGGAGCCCTGTGGAGACAGTGACAACAGACATGTACCGGAGCCCTGTTGGACAGTGACAACAGACATGTACTGGAGCCCTGTTGGTACAGTAACAACAGACATGTACCGGAGCCCTGTTGGGACAGTGACAACAGACATGTACCGGAGCCCTGTTGGGACAGTGACAACAGACATGTACTGGAGCCCGGGGGGGGGGGGCTGGCAGTGACAACAGACATACCGGAGCCCGGGGGGTAGTGACAACAGACATGTACCGGAGCCCTGTTGGACAGTAACAACAGACATGTACCGGAGCCCTGTGGGGGGGGGGCGACGACAGTGACAACAGAAATGTACCGGAGGGTGGGGGGGGTGTGGGGCAGTGACAATAGACATGTACCTGCGCCCTATTGATACAGTGACAACAGACATGATGTAGATATAGTTGGAACATTGTGTAACAATTGATGTAGATGTAGTTGTATCATTGTGTAACAATTGATGTAGATATAGTTGTATCATTGTGTAACAATTATGGAAAAAAAATATTTTTATCCCATGTGGCTACATGTAAATAAAGACAGAATGAGATTAATGACAAATGTTTTTCAGTTTGTTTTTGGATTACATTTATTTTATGATGTTGAAATGAGATGAGTTAGTTCCAGAATATAGGTGAATCAAAATGTGGAACTAACTAGATCTATACAGTGCGTATTGTATTAAGTTGATTATTTCCCTACGAAATTATCTGTGTGGTGTGCGAAATTTGGTTCAGTTAATAGATTGTAACAAAATATGATCAGAGAATAATTGAGTAGCTCAATTCTTTGGAGAATTCTAGCAGACATTAACGCCGTCCAAGTTTAGCCGATAGCGATCTCTCCCCATCATAAATGATGATCTGGGACGTCATATTGTGATAACATTGTTCCGACAGGCTGGCCAGACTTTTGTCTGCTACGTAGGCCAAACATGTCCTGATGTTTGGTCTGATTATTTGGGTTGCTAAACATTTACATTCGATTAAAAATATGTTACTGGTTTGTTAACAGATCTGAATCTATAATGTAATTATTTATTTTTAATCACGTGATTTTTAGCTACTTTCTTTTTTAGATTAAATTTAATTGAATGTTATCAGGCTCAGATGGTTATATTGTGTGTGTGTGTGTGTGTGTGTTAGGAGGGAGAAATATTGATAGTTGTGTGAGTTTTGTGTGAGATCCCACAGTTGTGTGAGTTTTGTCTGAGATATCATAGTTGAGTGAGTTTTGTGTGAGATACCATAGTTGTGTGAGTTTTGTGTGAGATCCCATAGTTGAGTGAGTTTTGTGTGAGATACCATAGTTGTGTGCGTTTTGTGTGAGATTCCATAGTTGTGTGAGTTTTGTGTGAGATCCCATAGTTGTGTGAGTTTTGTGTGAGATCCCATAGTTGAGTGAGTTTTGTGTGAGATACCATAGTTGAGTGATCCACCAACCAGTGGCCCGCATGTTGACCAACTGGCCAGTGGCCCGTATGTTGACCAACTGGCCAGTGGCCCGTATGTTGACCAACTGGCCAGTTGCCCGCATGTTGACCAACTGGCCAGTGGCCCGCATGTTGACCAACTGGCCAGTGGCCCGCATGTTGACCAACTGGCCAGTGGCCCGCATGTTGACCAACTGGCCAGTGGCCCGCATGTTGACCAACTGGCCAGTTGCCCGCATGTTGACCAACTGGCCAGTTGCCCGCATGTTGACCAACTGGCCAGTGGCCCGCATGTTGACCAACTGGCCAGTGGCCCGCATGTTGACCAACTGGCCAGTTGCCCGCATGTTGACCAACTGGCCAGTGTGGCCCATCTGCTGATGAAAGACAACTTACCCGCCGTGGCCATGAGGAAAATGGGCGTGTCCGCGATGAGGTGGGGCGGGACGCGGGAGACGGCAGACGACAGGATCTGTTCCATGTAGCCGTGGATGGCCGTGACGTTTCTCTTGAAGTCGTCCAGCCCAGGTGGGAAGGTCGACCTTTTACCGTTGACCAGATCAATCTTTGGCAGGCCAGACTTGCCAGACGGTAACACCCAACTGCAAACAACACATAGGAAGGTTGGGTGTGGACAAACTGACAGGCATGGATGAACATGGATTACGCCAAACCGTCGGTCATGGATGCACATGGATCATGACATAAAACAACAGAAGAAAAACGTATAGAACGGTAAAAAAACAAACAAACGACAAATATAGAGATAATACAAAAACCGATGAGGCTACCAGTGGCGGAACTAGAAAAAAAGGGCCACCCCGCAAAAAAATGTGTTGGGCCCTATATATATATATATATATATATATATATATATATATATATATATATATATACACACATATATATATATATATATATATATATATATATATATATATATATATATATATATATATATATATATATATATATATATATATATATATATATACTCAATACGGGTTTGTTCGAAATTTGAAAAAAATAAAATTCTTAGTTTTATTTTGTGTCAGCAGGGGTCGGCAATCTTTTGAGACGAAAGAGCCAAAAGTTACAAGTTACAAAATTTCCCATTTTTTAAAGAGCCACTAACATTATTTTTTCCAATATTTTGGTATTTGATTAGAATTAGGTAAATAAATTTAATTGTTTATTTGAAATAAATACCGTTAAATATGAACTAATATTGATTCATAGAAAAACATGTTTCGCACAAAAAGTGTTTTAGATAGCTCTGCTATGATTAAATTAGATATCAAATAATATAACTATAGGACAATCCCAATCCACCTTGGAAGCCAACAACTTTGTTTTTTCTTTCTTTATGGTCACCACTGGTTCAGAGGGTGTCTCCCATAGCCAAGTGGCCCTCAACTCTGACTAACTGGCTTAGATATAGGTTTGATAATCGAATCGGTCGCTTCTGTCCTTCGGTTCTCACAGTGCTTATCTTCCACCCTACTCGTTCCCCACAGTCCAATACCTGGCTCCACCGTAGAAAACCAATAGCTAAAATACTTCGGTAGAGGGATGCATTTCGAATAAAATAAAAATCCTGTTTAAAGTTGTTTTTCCTTACAGTATAATATTTTTATGAGTTTTGAAAATGAAATAATGTAACTATTAATATTTGTGCATGGAAATCGAGAGCCGCACCGTGACATCAGGGGGGCCGCATGCGGCTCGCGAGCCGCGGGTTGCCGGCCCCTGGTGTCAGTGCTATTAGCCTGGTTTGAAATTCTTTGTTTCAATGTCTGACATATAGCTCCCCAATTATTAATTAAGCCGTCAAAACAATATGAAGCATGAAAGCTTTGTATCTGTAATGGTTTCTCGCCTTATGTTTATTTTTAAGTATTTTTTATTTATATTATTAGTTTTTAATACATTTCCTTTTATACTATGTTATTCTTTATTGTGTATTCTTTTTTAAATAATAATTAAGAGAAGTAATTGCTTTGTAATTTGTTTAGTGCAAAAAAAGTTTCTTAATTAAGAGCACACATATTTGACTATTTAAAAAGGGAAATAAGTCATGGAAATGGTTTGAACGTTTGCCTATCTTTCACACTACAACTCATGTAGCTATATGTTTTTTCTTCATGAAACAACGTGTGTTAGCTACTGTAGAACATCACTACTGTAGTAGATCTGTTTGTTTGTTGTTGTTTTTTTGCAAAACAAATAATAATTTTTTAACTATAAAAAAGTTGATTCTGGTCGGCTTTGGGCCCCTAAATGGCCTGGGCCCCCCGCATTGCGGGGTCTGGCGGCACTGTAGTTCCGCCCCTGGAGGCTACCTGTTTACAGTCGTTTTGCATGTGTGTATGTGTGTTTGATGGGTAGGTGGGGGTTAGTGGTTATAGATCTTTTAATCAAATAATGTCACCAGTAGATTGGGGTTTTCTATATTCATTGTAATTTACTTTTGTGTTAAGTGATGGGCAAACAATGATTGCTGACATACATTATGTATGTGGATACAGTAAACTGCGACCCATGTAAACAGCGACCCATGTAAACTGCGACCCATGTAAACAGCGACCCATGTAAAACACGTGCACTCATCCACCTGTATACCTTGAGCTTAGTGCTGGCGTACACTTACCCACCTGTATACCTTGAGCTTAGTGCTGGAGTGCACTTACCCACCTGTATACCTTGAGCTTAGTGCTGGCGTACACTTACCCACCTGTATAGAGCTTAGTGCTGGCGTACACTCACCCACCTGTATACCTTGAGCTTAGTGCTGGCGTACACTTACCCACCTGTATAGAGCTTAGTGCTGGCGTACACTCACCCACCTGTATAGCTTGAGCTTAGCGCTGGTGTACACTTACCCACCTGTATACCTTGAGCTTAGTGCTGGCGTACACTTACCCACCTGTATACCTTGAGCTTAGTGCTGGCGTACATTCACCCACCTGTATACCTTGAGCTTAGTGCTGGCGTACACTCACCCACCCGTATACCTTGAGCTTAGTGCTAGCGTACACTTACCCACCTGTATACCTTGAGCTTAGTGCTGGAGTACACTCACCCACCTGTATACCTTGAGCTTAGTGCTGGAGTACACTCACCCACCTGTATACCTTGAGCTTAGTGCTGGCGTACACTCACCCACCTGTATACCTTGAGCTTAGTGCTGGCGTACACTCACCCACCTGTATACCTTGAGCTTAGTACTGGCGTACACTTACCCACCTGTATACCTTGAGCTTAGTGCTGGCGTACACTCACCCACCTGTATACCTTGAGCTTAGTGCTGGCGTACACTCACCCACCTGTATACCTTGAGCTTAGTGCTGGAGCTCCCAGCGTCCAGCAGAACGCCGTACCTGACGTCTGCGACGCTCGTGTCAGCGCACGTGTAGGTCAGCGTGAGCAGAAGACAACTTGCTGCCAGCACACACAAGCTTGATGACGTCATCATGTCCGTCCTTGTGGCGCCACCCATGCTTTGCTTGGACGTGAGTTATCTAATCTTAGATCGTTAAGAAAAAAAAACACATTTAGGGGCGTGTCTGATATTTAATTAATAGTTTTATTCCGCCCTCATACAATAGGACCCGCCCCTTATTAGGATAGATGGGACAACCCTGAGATGGGAATATGACAAATCGAGAGGCAAGCGGTAGACTGGGACCCCCAGGGGTAAGAAAAGTAGGCCGGCCTAAGCAATCCTGGAGAAGGAAAGTGGAAGTGGAAGCAAGGGCTGCTGGGAGAACATGGGCTGAACTAAAGAGAGCTGCCCAATACAGAGTCCGGTGGAGAGGTGTAGCTGTAGACCTTTGCTCTTCAGGAGCTCCAAAGGTACAATCCAAGTAAATCCTGACATTAGAAACTATAATATAGGGCCTACTTCATGTCATAAGTTAGGCTGACGTATTTATCTACCTTATATTATCAAGTTTGACTTATAGGCGATATCATGATATGAGCAACAATGCCATAGGGCAACATCACGACATTAGCAAGCATGAAGATGATGTGCATCATGACATCGCGCTATTATACAATCTGGCAATGTGATGCTGTAGGCTCTGACATTTGCATTGCTGTCTATGTTTATGTTACTATCACCCGGGCCGCCCTATAATGAGAGAAGTTGAATTCACGGGGTAGAGCGGGCGCTAAATATATTGTTGAAAGACAGAACTGGCAAACTGGACGAAATTCAATGCCTAATGTATTCCAGAAGGCCAAACCAAACCCATCTACTTACCATAGGGGCGGGATCATACAGCACCCCACGTGACTCGTCTGGCTGGCGTCCAAGCGAGGCTCAGCTGTCAGACAACATGGAGAGTATGAGGGGTGCGTTCACAGTGTGAGGTGGGGGTGGGGGGGGGAGTGGGCTGTTGTGTGTGTGTGTGTGTCACGTGGAGTGAGGGGTGCAATCACAGTGTGAGGTGGGGGTGGGGCTCTTGTGTGTGTCACGTAGGGTGAGGGGTGCGATCATTGTGTCGGGTGGGGGAGGTGGGGGTGGGGGTGGGTGGGGGGGGGGGGGGTGAACGGAAAAAAAGTCACAGGAAAAAAAAACACAGAAAAAAAGTCACAGTTTTTGCTAGGAAAAAAAGTCACAGAAAAAAAGTCACAGTGGAAAAATTTTATCGGAAAAAAAGTCACAGAAATAAAGTCACAGAAAAAAGTCACAAAAATCTTTTTAGAAATATTTTTATTAATTTGTTAAGAATTGTAAATTTTGTATGTTTATTGCTGTGTGTTGTATTTTTTTATAGCATAAATTATTTATAGACGTTAAAAGCATTATGATTTATAACAATTGTAAGTAAAAATACTCTAAGATAATTAACACAACAATCTCAACTTTTGTTACGTATTTAGTTAAATACGCGGTAGAAAAGTTAACTATAAAAGAAATTTAGGCACATTTTGCCGTAGGCTATTCTCTGGTCGGCCTCTCCTCAGTAGGCATTGTCCGAACATATTTTGTGTTGTTGACGTTATGCGTCAATGACAGCCTTTGAACCTTGTCGGCTTTCTGTTTTGATCCTAAGGTTTTGTTATGTAATGAGCGTGATAAATGTGGGCAGTAAAGGTGGTTGAACTAAACATAACTATTGTTGCCATGAGTTGAGGGCAGCAAGTCCGACCAACTTACCATTTCACGGTAATTTAATATTGGTATTTAAAAAAAACACGATGAAAAACGTGGACTTTGGAGCATTCTATTAAATGCTACTAATCTTAAGTTTAAAATAATTACAATCTACATACTTCATAATAAATATTTTTAGATGAATTATAAAAATTCCTATGCGTATACAGCCTACACACATTATATTACATTTTATTAATCCTAAGTTAATTTGCACTCTCTAAATATTTAATACATAAAAGTATTAACAAATATCATGCATATATATATATTTGTGACTTTTTTTCCTGTGACTTTTTTTCCTGTGACTTTTTTTCCTGTGACTTTTTTTCTGTGTTTTTTTTTCCTGTGTTTTTTTTCCTGTGACTTTTTTTCCTACAATCGTGGGGGGGGGGGGGGGGGGGGTGGGGCTGTTGTGTGTGTCACGTGGGGTGAGGGGTGCAATCACTGTGTCGGCTGGGGGGTGTAGAGGGTGTAGGGTTGGGGGTGGGGCTGATGTGTGTGTCTAGTGGGGTGAGGGGTGCAATCACTGTGTGTGTCACGTGGTCTGAATGTCTTGTATTGTCTGTACGAGTACAGTGAGCGCCGTCCTTAATTTCCAACAAACGAGAAGAGAGTGGCGTCCCCTGGGAAGGTCTATATTTACAAAACAAACTTGTTGCTGGGTTCAATTACCTGTCTGAATATCACAGCAACTAGAAAAATAGAACATTTTGTTCCACTAGAAAATAGAACATTTTGTTCAACTAGAAAATAGAACATTTTGTTCCACTAGAAAATAGAACATTTTGTTCCGCTAGAAAATAGAACATTTTGTTCAACTAGAAAATAAAACATTTTGTTCCGCTAGAAAATAGAACATTTTGTTCCACTAGAAAATAGAACATTTTGTTTCTGTTTTCTAGCTTCTTCTTTTATTTTATGCATGGAAGGGTAGGATAAAAGTGATTGATGAAATACACCAGGAAAAATGGGCAGGTAGGGGAAGTAGCTCTCGTGATGTAGGTTACATGGGGTGTTGGGGGTGGGAGGGGGTGGTAACAGCCAGGTTAAATCTCAGAAAGCTAATTCTGAACAACATATAAATATGCATGATAAAAATGGCCGTTTGGATGTCCACTGAGAATACACCTTCTCATGTTTTCACACATTGAAAGCCCTCACAGCCCACACAGCCCACACAGCCCACACAGCCCACACAGCCCTCACGGTCTAGAAGCCTGATGAAACATGCCGTGTAAAAATTAATGTTCTATTTAAACCCCACCCCTCTCGTTCTTAGGTTCAGAGAAAGAAAAAAAAATGAAATGATTAAATGATTAAAATAATCTTAACGAAGTGAGCGCCAGTTTTTGAGATGAAGTGAGTACGGCCTGCCAGATAAGCCGACGATACACAGAGATGTGGCGTCAACAGAATTACATTTATCTGGCCTATCGCGGCGGCAGGTGCACACCTCTCCACAGGATAGATCGAAGCTGGGAACATATCAGGGCGCTGTGATATACAGTGTTGTACACATATCAGGGGGCTGTGATATACGGTGTTGTACACGTATCAGGACGCTGTGATATACGGCGTTGTACACATATCAGGGTGATGTGATATACGGTGTTGTACACGTATCAGGACGCTGTGATATACGGTGTTGTACACATATCAGGGTGGTGTGATATACGGTGTTGTACACATATCGCTGTGATATACGGTGTTGTACACATATCGCTGTGATATACGGTGTTGTACACATATCGCTGTGATATACGGTGTTGTACACATATCGCTGTGATATACGGTGTTGTACACATATCAGGGTGATGTGGTATACGGCGTTGTACACATATCCGGGTGCTGTGATATACGGTGTTGTACACATATCGCTGTGATATACGGTGTTGTACACATATCGCTGTGATATACGGTGTTGTACACATATCGCTGTGATATACGGTGTTGTACATATATCAGGGTGATGTGGTATACGGTGTTGTACACATATCAGGGCGATGTGATATACGGTGTTGTACACATATCGCTGTGATATACGGTGTTGTACATATATCAGGGTGATGTGGTATACGGTGTTGTACACATATCAGGGCGCTGTGATATACGGTGTTGTACACATATCAGGGCGCTGTGATATACGGTGTTGTACATATATCAGGGTGATGTGGTATACGGTGTTGTACACATATCAGGGCGATGTGATATACGGTGTTGTACATATATCAGGGTGATGTGGTATACGGTGTTGTACACATATCAGGGCGCTGTGATATACGGTGTTGTACATATATCAGGGTGATGTGGTATACGGTGTTGTACACATATCAGGACGCTGTGATATACGGTGTTGTACATATATCAGGACGCTGTGATATACGGTGTTGTACACATATCAGGACGCTGTGATATACGGTGTTGTACACATATCACTGTGATATACGGTGTTGTACACATATCAGGGTGATGTGATATACTCTTAAATCTCTTGTGTTGCATCGTATTATGACTGTCAACATAGCTTGGCTAATGGAACAGAGATAACTTATATAAAAAATGATTTAAATCACGATTTAATAAAAATCTAAACCACTGAAATATTCAAATAATTTTCAAATAATGAATTCTTGAAAACCTAATCATTAAGATGATGAACTAAACGAACGAAACGTTATATACACCTAACATTAACCGTGACAACTTGAACTAGGCGATTAAAGATCGATATCAATAAAGTAACAGCAAATATGTTTTCGCTCTAAAACCTGACCATCTGGTTCACTGAGAGACCAAGGGACATAGTTTACTGCCGTGTTGGTCTGCCTACACACAGGGGAAATAAGCGGGTAGCCTCCCCTGTTGTGGGAAAAATGGCCGTCAGTTATACTCCAATTAACTTATGCCATTATTTCGTCTCTAATTTAATTAACCCAACAGCAGGGTGACTGGCACTGGCGTGACGTCACACAACACAAGGGAAGTGACTCGCCTGAAGGGAAACAACTCCCTTGCATATTTTAGTAACCGATTCTGCCTTGACCAATGAAATTAATACCTTGAAATCGATGAGGCTCAGCTGACTGTTGTTGACCAAACAGCGCCAGTTGTATTTGTTTACATTTTTTTTATTGTACCCGGGATTTAATCGCTGGCCTCTAGCTCCCTCTCTTGCCTCAGTGAAATATTTATGACAACGTTAAATACTGATTCACTTCAATTTGATGTCACGTGACATCGAACTGGTTGCACCCACGTGACATCAATATTTGGTCGTTATCCATAGTCAAATAATTACAGCTAAATAGAATATACTTTCTGATGAGTCTCGCCAGACAACAGACTTTCTGATGAATCAGACAACAGACTTTCTGATGAATCAGACAATAGACTTTCTGATGAATCAGACAATAGACTTTCTGATGAATCAGACAATAGACTTTCTGATGAATCAGACAACAGACTTTCTGATGAATCAGACAACATACTTTCTGATGAATCAGACAACAGACTTTCTGATGAATCAGACAACAGACTTTCTGATGAATCAGACAACAGACTTTCTGATGAATCAGACAACAGACTTTCTGATGAATCAGACAACAGACTTTCTGATGAATCAGACAACAGACTTTCTGATGAATCAGACAACAGACTTTCTAATGAATCAGACAACAACTACAGCCATCAAGTGCACAATTTCCAAACGTATTTTAATTGGCTTACCTGGCAGACATTAACAGCGAGAAAAAAAAATGAGCTCGGCTAATTACTTGCAGCTTTACCAAATCGCTCAGTACAACAAGACAATACGGAAACACTAAGACGTAGCAAGGCAATACGGCAACACAAAGACGTACGGCAAGGCAACACACGGATTTAATACATCGCTCAGTACAACAAGACAAAACGGCAACACTAAGACGTACGGTAAGACAATACGGCAACACACGGATTTAATACATCGCTCAATACAACAAGACAGTACAACACAAAGACGTACATTAAAACAATACGGCACCAGAATGACGTACAAGTCAATAAGGCAACATAAAAACGTACATTAAAAGAATACGGCACCAGGAAGACGTATTGTAAGACAATACGTCAACACAAATACGTACATTAAAACAATACGTCACCAGAATGACGTACAACAAGCCA